AAGACACTTCACCTGCATCGTCTACTGATGGTGGTCAGAGGGCCCGGTGGCGCCAGTGTACGGCAGCCCCGCTTCTGTCAGTGAGCCCCAGGGCAGCTGTGGCTACAATGTAGCTTGCCACCATCAGCATGTGAGTGAATGGGTGAATGAATGTAGTGTAAAGCGCTTTGGTCAAGTCTCCTGCCTTGAATAAAGGCGCTATATAAGTACAGGACATTTACCATAAACATTCATATTTGTACTATAATTATACTACTATAGTAAATATTCTTTCTGTCATGGTTTGTAGACATTAAGATCTAAAGAGAAGCGTCATCTCCTTGTCAGACCCTGTAATTCACTGAAAGGGTGGAGTCAGAGTAATAAAATATGTCGGGTTAATGGAGGGGATTTGCTGGGAGTTGCAGGGAAGTGTGCTGCCATTCGGCTGCCGTTTGACTGGGAAGGGCCATTTTGAAAGGCTGCTAATGTAGTTTCTATTTATCTGAATTAAAGCATTTGAAAACAGATTTATTAACTCAACAAGCAAAAGTCAATCTTCTTGAATTTTTTTCCGTTACTGCACATCATGATAAAGCATTAAAAAGTAGGAAATAAAAAATAACAAAATTTGAAATGTGAAAACTTTTTCAGGCACAAATTAACAACTGAACTCCTGTTTTTGCTGATGGGTTGTATGGTTTCGTAGCCTTGTTCTGATATCAACATTGTATGAAGATTGCCTCCTTTTTTCTCCATAAATGCCACACAGAGTCAGTAATACTGAACATATGGGGATCTGCACCCCAAATATATTTCTTAATTTGATTTCAAGCCTTTTTAACATTAAATGAAAAACATTTTTCATTATAGGCTCCATAAAAAAAGCTGGACATGTGAAGAAGCCTGCTTCTAAAGGTTGCAGTGGTTAAAATCCCTGTAAGGGAGCATTGATCAGAGTCAGCCTGCTCTGTAGTAATCGCTTGTGACATGAGGGACCTGCAGTACTCCTGCAGTGATGTGTATAGATTACATTTTGGCTTGAACAGAGCTCTCCAGTTAAGTGTTTGTATTTAGAGTAAATAAAACTTGGCTCCTGGGTTGCCTCTGACTGACACTGAGCCAGCAGAACCAGGCCATAGGGCTAACCCAAACAAAACACTTCAATCTGTAAGCGCTGCTCTCCATGACTCCCCAAGGACCCCATTGATCCGCCGGCCAATCAGGGAACATTGATCACAGATTCCGCCCCCCTTTTACCGGGTACTGAGACTTCCTTCTGGTACATTCATTTGTTCCCTGTCAGATGTACAGTATTCCCCATGAGGGCTGTTGCTGCGCAGGCTCATAATTTTGGAACCTTTTCTTTTCATGGAGCTTGGTTTGGGAAACACTGCTGTGGAGGAATCCTTTTGAAACAGACTCCTCAAGGAAACATGTTTATTCCTCCAGTTTATGCCCTCCTTGTTTCACTGTTAATGCTTAATTCAATTCAATTCAGTTCATTTATATAGTACCAATTCATAACAATCAAATTATTTTACAGACAACAAGATCATAGGATCGTAAATCAGACGGTTTTCAAGATGATGTAAAGTTAAGTTTGAACTTTACATAGAGTCTTGTGAATTTTAATTTTTAAAGATACTAAAAATAACGACTCGAAATAGAGCCTTTCTACGAGTGGACAATAACATTCATGGTATAGACATGAAGTCCCA